ACGGGTACGGGTACGGGGCGGGTAAGTACATACCCGTACCCGTACCCGTACCCGATTCAATATATCGGGTTTTACCCGTACCCGTACCCGTACCCGGTCAAACCGGGTATTCCCCGTCAAAGTCGGGACGGGTTCGGGTATTACCCACGGGTACGGGTATATTTGCCATCCCTACTACCGGCAATACCTGACCCTTTTCCTTCTGTCATATCAGTAGTATTTTTTGGGACCAGTTGGAGTGTGGATGTCGTTGCTAATTCTGTTACTTTCCATTGGGTGGCACTGTTAACTTTCACATTTTCTCCGACCCATGAAGTCCCTATGGTTATTGACGAATAAAATACTTTTTCTATTAAAAAAATGTGATTTTATATAAAATTAACATATTTCTTATACTTTTTTAAATAGACCTATCATAGGCGGACTTAGCTTGTTTTGACTCCTTGAATTATTTCAAAAATTGTGAATTTGGTTTAGTTAGGTTCATCCAAAATTGATGAGACCTAGTTAAATCAAATCCTTGAAAAATTAGGAGCAAAACAAGTCTAATATGTAAAATTTTGCCTAGGCCCAATTCTGACCTAATTACTAGTCACACCCTCAAGCATTGCTAAATGTCACCCCACTTCTACTACTAAAAAATAGAAAAAGAGTTCTTCAAAATTAGGTTAAATGGAAAAGTGTGAATTTTAATATTCATAAAATTTTGATTAGAATAAATATGGTGTTGCTTGATATAACTCTCTCTTACTTTACAATATATATGTGCTTGTAATTGCTCAAATGTGGGTAGGAGGGCTTCTTGGTGGTGGAAGGATATAGTGTGGGTGCTACAACAAGGAAATTTTTGGTTGAATGAAAAGACTGATCATTGTATTGGCGATGGCACTATGAACTAATAATTTTGGGAGGATAAGTGGATATGTGGTTTGCGCTTGTTTGATGTCTTTCCTCGTTTGTACTCCTTTGCCTTGGACCCATTGTCAGTGGTGGCACATAATGGAACTTGGGAGGGATCTAGGTGGGTGTGGCATGTTAATTGGAGAAGAGAACCTTTTGTCCATGAAGTTAGAAGTGTGAATACCTTGTTGGATATGCTTCAAAGCTTGCAGATTATCTCTTATAAGCAAGATTATTAGAGATGGATTTGTGATAAGGACGGTGTATTCTTGGTGAAAAGTGTGTACCTTTGGCTGCAACACTTGCTGGGTGGAGAACTCAGATACTTTTCAGATTTTTAACTAGTTATAAAAAGTCTTTGGAAATGCAAGGCTCCGATCAAGTGCTTAGTGTTTTGTTGGCAGGTGTTATTGAATGCATTTTCGTGCAAATCATTGTTATAAGTACGTGGTGTGGAGTTAGATAACAATTTATGTTCTTTTTGCTCTCTGTTTGTTGAAGACCCTCTTCATCTCTTTCTAATGTGCCCAATGACTTTTAATACTTGGTTAGCTGTTGCTAATTAGTTGGAGGTTGCGGTGGTCCTTCCTAATTCTTTAATTTCTCTTTATTTATATTAGACGAATCTTGGTATATATAAAAAACATTCTCAACATTTTTGAGTGGTTTGAGTTTCTGTTATCTGGTGACTATGGCTTCATCATAATGTTATTATTTTTCAGCAAGGTACTACAGATTGCAAGGAAGTGTTGGATAATATCAAACTGCGTTCATGGAAGTGGATTAGTAGTTTTGTCCCTGATTGTTCTTTTAATTACATTAGTTGGTATTATAACCCGAGTTTGTGTTTCTCATAATTTATGCTTTAGTTTTGAATTCTAATTATGTCTCTGTGTCTCTTGTAACGGGTTGAAGTACCCCTTGTACTACCTCTAATTTAAATCTTTTTTGCTTATAAAAAAAAAGTGCTTGTAAATTAGATTAGACTTTTGGTTTAAATGAAGAATTAATTTAATTTAGTAAAAAATGTTTATATTCTTATTCTAGTGCAATAAAGTTATATAATATTTTATTATATTATTTTTATTTTCTTTTTTTTAGTAATTACCTACATAGGTTCAAGACAATTTTTTTTTAATATTACAATTTTATATTGTAACAATTGCAAATAATTTTTTTTTTTATAAATATGATGCACACAATGTCATAAAATATTAATGACTAATTTGTACTTCTTAAACATGATTTTTGTTAATTAAATATTATTTTAATACAGATAAAAATTAAACTTAAAAATAGCGATCAATTTCTTATATATCAAAACAAACCTTACAAATATTGGGACAAGAAACTTCATTTAGAGAAGAAAGAAAATGACTGAAATGATAACATATTTTTTTACCATATTTATGAAATCGTGTTAGGGTTTATCCCATGGTATGTAACTTATTTTACTATTCTTGTTCATTTATTTATATTTATTGTTTTTTCTCCTTTAAAGCAGAATTCTGTGTTTGTAACTTTACTGAACTCCAAGATGCTACATATGCGGTACCACTCCAACCCATCTGTCAACTGAACAATCACGGCCTCATCATTCGTCCAAACATGTGAGAGATGAACAAACAAATGAGCAAAAAAGCAGTGACATTGACGCTGCATTAGCTTGCTCAATACACGACTCCCAAAGCTCATGTCAAAACAAGATTTTAAGATAACTCTACCAGTCAAAGATTAATTGCCAGAAACAAGGACCAGGTCAAACCAAACATACCCATAGCAAATATGTTGAATGATTTATTAACAATAATACGTGCATCCATGATCCATGTACTGATTTTTATACATTAATTTTTGGCCCGCTGTAATGTTTTTAATATTGTTTACGTAAATGGTCAAGCTAATTAATCAGATTTAAACGTTTTTATATCACTATTTTTGAATAACCATAATAGTGACAAGTAATATTTATCATTAAAAGTAGAAATTAATTTTCATCTAAGATTATAAATTCACACAAAGTAGATATTATTCTCTTAATATAATCTATTTTTTTAATACCATTTAAGTGAAAGAATACAATTTTCATGTATATAAAGCCCGATCTACTAGAAAATTTCAATTGATGGACTATAGAAATAACTCAAGTATGTTGGAAAAGAAATATGTTGTTAGGTGCTACCTCAAGTATTAAATGACGGATGATAAGTAAATGAGAAAATAGGTAATGCAACGCCAGTAACTTTACACTGTTATAAAA